GGTCAAAGGCAAGGGGTCAGATACACTTGTGTTGACTGCTGCAGCTCTGAGGACATGTACTGTTAGCCCTGACAGGGAGGGATTTGTTTCTAATGTTTTGATTTTGGCTTGGCCAGATCTTAAGGACTTTCCCAGGTGGGAAACTTCCTGTCTAAGACATCTCTGAGGAAGTACTGCAATATTCTGGTTACTAGTCAAGATGCCTTAAAAAAATCCCACTTCCTTCTTTCCGAGAGGGTACCCTTTCAATAAGACGGTCATTCTGTGCCACAGCCCCTGCTTTCACCAAGCAGTAATTATGCAGCTCTTAAGTTTCCTCCTAAATCCTCATTTCCAATAGCTTTGCTTGCTCTGAATCTCCTACTTGTCACGCAGCTCTCTGGCAACTGTGTGCTCAGAACCAAGAGCAGTGTTACCACAGCTGTAGGAGACTCCTACAGCTCAAACTACATTTTACTGATATAAACCACTGTGGCTTCATATCTCACTTACTGTCAGTGCCCTTCAACGCTACAGTTTTCTCTGTCTCTCTGAATACTAGTAGGCTAGATTTTTTCCTTCAGCTGCTGGCTTGTATTAGGTCAAATACAATTAGATATCTATTTAAATTGTCTGAATACAACCTATGGCTTTCTTCCTCTGCTATTGTCCAGGTAAATATCAAATTACTGTTTCTCTCTACCCTCTACATTAGGACACAGGAGGCTGACTATAAACAAAAAGCGTTCACTCACTTGTCAATGTTTCTGACTAATCACTAACCCTAATCACTGTTAGATAATCATCCGATGCCTCTTAAATGCCTGTATCAAATGCCTTACTAAAAGCCAGATGATCTGTATTTAGAATCTCCTCAAAAGATTTGCAACCATCAAGTGCCTTTGCTTGCTGTTATTTCCCCAGTATACTAGCACATCCCTAGTGCTCTATCACTTATCTCAATCATTATCAGAACTGTAGCAAGTCTGTATTAGCTCTATTAGCTGATTCCCTTACTGACCAGTACAACAAATTATCTGCACTCCCACTGTGCTGCAGTAAGCTCATATTTCACAAATATTTTCTTGCTTGCCTTCTCTCAGTAACTGCATTACATCTTCATTGATTTTCAACTGCCCCTCGTTTCAAGTATTGGTTAAATAGATTTCCACCATTGCACAGTTATTAATCTCACTTCAGTGCTCCTGTATTAATAGGCCTTTTGTATTCCTTTCCCCCCAGACATGTTTGTGAAAGCTCTTCTTTCCTTATTCTTCTGGCTGTTGTTAATTTATTGTTGTTGATGCCCTTAGCTTTATAGCTAGTCAGTTGATTTTTTTGCAGTCCATCTTCCTTCATTCAGTGTAAGGCTACCTTGCCACTCTCTGCTGCATACAGTGAAACTACACAGCATATGGCTACTATGATGCTTATAACTATTAAGACAAAATTATAATGCTTTCTAAGGCTTGCTTTTATTTTTTTTTCCTCTCTCTTCTCTGCTACTAGCTTACATTTTGAGATCTCCCGGTACTGCTAGTATCACCTGGAGGAAAAAGGGCAGAGAAAATTCCATTTGTTAAATGCTGGGTTGCTTCCTCTGCTGGGGCAGGGAGGGGTTCTCCCCTGTATACAGCCAGTCTCAAGGGCTGCTGTCTGAGGAGTAATCCATGATCTCCTGGAAACCAAAACTTCAAATCATTCTTCAAATTATTGTTTGTACCAGTGACACTGACTCATAAATCCTGTTATTTCAAAGCAAGGGAAGCACTTGAAAATATCACATGGAACTTGAATGTTCTAGCTGTTTCACGCTGTTCTTCTGCCGATCAGGGCATGTTTCAAGTCTTTGCTTGGATGTTCATGTCGTGATTCCTGTTCTAAAATGAGGTACACTAGGCGAGATCTCTGAGTTTGCTGCCACCTGATTTGCCAGACCACAATATCATGACTTTCTGGGAAGCAGCCATATACCAAACAAAAAAGCAGTTGAAAAAAGTAAAAGTTAAGAAAATGAAAGGAGTGCAGCTTAAAGGAATATATTATTTAGCCACCTTTGTACTTCCAACCAACTTTGATATCAAGTATACCAAAAGCAGAATAGGATGAACAGCAAAAAAAAACAAAATATAGTGCTAATGTTGGGAAAGATTGCTTTGATCTACTGACAAATTGTTGCTTATTTTCTGCAGTTTAGTAAGCCCACTAGAGCAATGCTATTTCTATCCTCTCCTCTCCTTTTCTCTACTTCTGCAGCGAAATACACAACTTGCCTTTTGCTAAGACGTATTGCAGTGCTCTCTGCCATCTTTTTAGATGCTCAGAAGCCCACTGGGGATACCTTATTATCTCTGTAATAGTGATTTTTTGATTTTTCTTTGAGAGGGAAGAGATGATCTGAAAAAATGCATTTAGTAAAAAAAATTTGATCAAACATTAATTTTTAGTTATTGTAATTTAAATGAGGAATGCCTCCCTTAACCTTTCTATTTCTTAATGGCAAGGTGACCTCCTCCCTTTAGGTTGCTGTAGGTTAGAATGATGTTTGAGAACATTTGGCGAATGTTCTTTTTGGGTAGGTACAGTAGATTATTCAGCTTTTTCATGGCCTTACAATTTTTTTTTTTAAGCAAAACCACTTCCACTTAAAAAAGCACTTACGCACTTCAGGGCCTTGAAAGCTTTTGGTACAGCTTAGCAGCAACAGCTTGCTGAGGTACTCTAAGAAAGACTAAAGGTTTTAGCTCATCGCTGAAGCTCAAAAGCAAGCTGCTTTAAGCTCTTATGTAGTGCAGCAGGAGCAGCGAGGTGCAAACCTCAAAAAACTTGCGCTGCTTTAAGCTCTTATGTAGTGCAGCAGCAGCAGTGAGGTGCAAAAGCTCAAAAAACTTGCAGTAGCCTTGTGCATAAAACCACTTCAAGTTAGTAAAGATAGCTTTGGCATTCATCAGAGACAGCCTATCCGTAACTGTGATTTAGGATGTTCCTCTGTTTTTTTGCTTGTTAGTCATTTAACAGGATGAGCATTAGGAAAAAAAAAAAACAATTAGGAAAAAAAGAACAGGTGACTTCAAAACTATTTCTACTCCAAATGTCAGACAAAACCATCCCCAGTCCCTCTGCAACACACCATGGGATCCTTAAGGTTATCAGCAAGACTTAATTCTGTATTTTTACCCCAAAATATACTCTTGCTAGAATGCTGCTTTAAGTAAAATACTAAAAATTGTTAAAATTTTAAAAATTATTATTATGTTTTTTTTTAAAAAAAAACTTGTAGCTTTCTGCTACAACTGGGTTTGAGAATGACTAAGGCTTCACAAATGAAATACAGGAAAGGGTGCAGCATGTAACAGAATGAGTTCAGACAATTAGAGCATTCATCTGACAAGCCACAAATATTTGCTTGTTTGTTGTTAAATACTAACTTTTGTAAAAAGTGAATTTAGCAACTTTTGTAATGATAGGGGGGTTCCTGCGACTCCAGTGGCATAACGGATTTTGGTATGTTCCTCAGTTCCTGTGTAAAAATCTGAGTAACTGGCATAAATGATGAAGAGCTAAGTGAGCCCTGACAGACGTACGTGTCTCAATTAGTACAAGTCTTTGTATTGCTCCTGAGACACCCCTTGGAAAAACACACTTCATAAGAATTAAATGGAACTCTGGGCCAATGTATCAGTATTATGTTAGTGAGTTGCAGGAAGCCTGCACTGGGTCATTAACAAGAATAAAGAACATATGCCTTATTTCATCTGCAAAACAATCACCACAAAAATCCATATAAGCAACCCAGTACTATAAAATAATGTGCAAGTTTCTGGTACATCTGCACTGAGCTCATTGACTGAGGAACCTCGATTCCCATTAAGCCTGCAGAGTGCCTACCCATGGCCTATCATCCTAAACGTTTGATTTGTTCACACTGTAGTAGCAAGCTAGTATGCTATGGACCTTTGGTAGGAAACACAGCTATAGTGACGTTTTAATAAGGATTATGGGATCCAGAGCAAGAACTGAAATGTTGTCTTAAAGTGTTAAAGAAGCAATGTTTGTTTATGTAGATCCTGGAGTAAACTTTTGCTTTGGTTTGGTTTTGGAAATGGTTTGGTAATTTTAAACCATTAATGGGAGGGCCTGGTCAAGAACAAATGTTCTCTTCCCCTGACCGTAGTACCTCCTCTAGATTTCTGACACTTGCTCTCTAGCATCTCGGCAAAATATATACCTTAATATCATTAATTCATCAATTCATAATATCATTGCTAATATATGTACTCATCAAGTTTGAAAACCAGACAACAAAATTCTGTCAATTCACATAAAGGTAGTATGTAGCTTTGCAATTGCTTGCATAGTTTTATTGAAGAGGTGTCAAAACAGGAAACCACAAGCTCCTTATTAATGATTAATGCTTCCAAGGTTGCCCCCCCCCAAACTGCACTACATTAATGCATGCATTATGACTGCAAGCAGAAGAGCTAACAAAAGCTGAATTGCATCAACAGGGAGAGGTGACTGACTCCCGGGTGACAGAAGCATGTAGCCAGGTACAGATCACAGGAGCCCTCTGTCTCCAAGCACAGTTGTCAACGGCTGCACAAAGTGTCTTTGAGGCTCTTTTATAAGTAAGAGTCAAAAGACAGGGTGGTCCAACAACAAGCAGTCTTGCCCTGCATCTATTTCTTTCTAGCGTTCTATTCAGAGTAGGCTGCAAGTACCTCGCCACAGCATTCTTACTTTTGACAAAGCCTTTTTAATATAGTTTTTGCCCAGAATTTCACAGTACAGAATATAAAAGGGAACTTTAAATTTTATTTTAATTATGTCATTTATTGGATGCAAAAGGTCCATTCCAAAATAACCAAGGAATGATAAAATACAGTGTTCAAATCTTTATACATGTGAATTTATTATTGCAGAAGACTTCAGGGATGAACAACAATGAACTCAAACAAAATTGTGTAGCTGAGGTATCAGAAGTTACAAAAACGTATTATTTCAGAATAAACTTCTAAGTCTTAAACATTTAAAAATTCTAATGGTGGTGGCTTAAGAGGAATCTTTCCTATAGTAAACTTTTTTGCTTCAAATTGTTTCAAATCTTCAGCTGATAATTCACTCTTTGGTGTAAATAACTTTTCTGATGTAGTATTGTTTGTGACTGCAGAAGATGCTGATGTTATGTTATGACCAGAGGCACTGGCAGTCTGTCCAAATGAAGTACTGCTTGACTGTGAGGCAGAAGCTGCTACTGCTGCATTAAAAGCTCCAAAGCCTGTAAGTGGAGTGGTGCTTGAAGAGTTCACAGCAGCAGAATTGCCAAGCCCTGAAAACCCAGAAGTTCCAAAACCACTAGTTGTTTCAGAAGTTTTAAATGAGAAGGAGGCAGCAGATGGAGCTGACAGGCTGCCAAAACCAACAGAATGGGATATGCTAGAAGAGGATGTTGCACCAAATGCAGGAGGATTACAACCAGCAGAAGAGCTCCCAAAAGTAGGGGTGTTTCCAGATGATGCACTGACAAGACTGGAACTTGTTTTAAAGGAGAAACTGCTAGCACTGTTACTGCTGCTCTTCACAGGAAAGCCTGCAATTATAAAATTTACAAAAAATGTTAGAATGTGCACACCTGTGATATTAAACTACTGACACATCTCAATAATGCAGAAGAATAAAAACTCAAGAAAATGTTTAACCATTGTTTCTTAATGCAGGAACTTACTTGACACCCCAAAGCTTGATGTTTGCTGTCCTCCAGATCCAAAGGAAGGCAATGGTTGAGTGACCATGTTCTTTAATTCAGACAGCTTAAAAAATTCCAAATACATAAATGAAAACTAGATTCCAAAACAGGGAAATGCCTTTCAATAAATACTTGAAGGAGAAATATAGCTGCCCAGTCCAATTTAATACAAGTTGCACTAAGTCAGACACTGATCACTTTCACCACAACTGCATGCTCTTACAGCTATGAACAAAATCCTTCAAGGCTATACTGTATTCTCCATAAAACACTCCAGAAACACAAATATATTACAATTTACAGATTTGTCTGTCAGTCACAGACCCAAACATCTCTTCCAGATCTCATTGTCATCTCTTAATCTATTTCAGTGCTTTATGATGCTGTCGGTCATTGCTTTGACTTAGTCTGTTCTCTCATCTTGGCACCTCTGGTTTTCCTTGCTGAAGCCCACTTCTTCACCATCAGCATTGAACATACCAAGGGGTATGATCATATTACTAAAACTTTAATGCACTTCATGTAGACTCCACTTAAATCAACTTACTCTGTCTCCCTGATTATTTAATACTGGCTTTAACTCAAGCATTCTTTTCTGACACATCTAGATTCAAAACTGGTTGTCACCTTCCCAGGAACATCTACTCTTTACATCTTCAGATTTTAACCAAACAGTTTCTCTCCCACCTATCTATCAATTTCTCATTCTGGCATTACCAAAATGCTCTATTTGTCCTCAGATGGCCTGGAGGACAATTCTGATCTTGTCTGCTGATGATACCATGGAAGAGTCAACATCAGCACATGGAAGAAAAGGTGGGGTGGATATTTGCCTCTTACTATATGTATCTTGACCAGAGCCCAACCTTAACCTATGATTACTTTCACGTGGCTTGCAACAATAGTATTCCAAACGTTGGATCCAGTTGCTGCCTTGCTGACATGGAACGATCCTGACTCACTACTTTTCTTCATTAACTAAAGGGTTTTGTAATACCTGCCTGTAATTCACTGATCTCATGATTCCAGAGGAAGGTGGCTGTAAAACCCAAAACTGTGTTCACAGACTTTCACGTTCACCTAACTCAGGCAGTGTTAGAATATTCAGTCACACTTCTATTGCCTATTAAAAAAAACACATAGTTGGAGAGATAGGGCAGCTTTCAAACTGCAATTGTTATTCTCTTATGTAATTTCTCCTTACACCCTTTCCACTTTCTCTAATGTTCCCAAGAGTGTTCTAAGATTACTGTCAAGGTATTCCTGCCACCAGTCAGCCAAATACTTTCATGCCAGATGTTTTTCAAGGCTGCAGTGCCAGAATGTAACACATCATAGTTGAGATTTTCAGAACAGTTCATAGATCTACCATAAAATTCCCAATGAATCTAGGAATCAAACATTCTCATGTCTCAGCTATTTAGGTGCAAACAAGGATGCCCTAAAAGAATTGTGTATATTTGGTCGTAAAATATAGTATGCTGTGATCTTCAAAGCAATAATTATCACCTATTTATATAAAGTTAGCAGAAGTGTAGTTAAGTACTTCGGTAACAGCTGAAGTTTCTATGGACATTTACAAGATTTCTTCATTAAAAACAAGGTGGCATATTACAGCTATCATGTCTTAGAAATCTTTGTAGCAGAACTTAACATTGGCATTTGAAGGACAGTTCAATAGGATGGGTCTAAAAAACCATGAATCCAAGAAAAACATTTGCCCAAAATTAATAAAAGAATGACATCAGGAACAGAAACATTTTACCTTTCATTAACACTTACCAAAGCTGCTTTTGTCGATGCATTTAAAACTTTCAACTGAAGCACCCTTTCTTTCCATCGTTCCACTAAGCCTTGGACAGAATTTATCTAAAAAGGGGGAGAAGAAAGGGATGTTGGACAGAATTTATCTAAAAAGGGGGAGAAGAAAGGGATGTTTTTATTATTGGTGAAGACTTAAAAACAAACAAACAAACAGCTGAACAGAAAGATTTCTAGAATTAGAAAAGAAACTTCATTAAGCCAAGAGGACAAGATTTTTGCTTTCCTGAAACTTAAAGGTAAGAAGCTGAAATTTTTATTATTAACACAGAACTCCTTTCAATTCTCTTACTATTGCCCTTAAGTCAACTTTTTCACTTCATGTAATACTAAGATTAAAAAAAATGTCCTGGGGCTTTCTAAATATAAGTTCTATCACTATCTGAATTAGGTGCTTGGGAAAAAAAACAAACAACCAAACCACATGCAGAATATTTAAGTATAAGGGAACAAACTCTTCAATCCTTGTTTTATTTCTGGTTTGTCCACTTATGTGCTCACTCAGTAAGCCAAAGTCCTAAGATTTGCCTTAGCTTCTCCCACATTTTCAGAAAAAACATGCCCACTTTTAAAACATTATAGAATCACAGAATGTCCTGGGTTGAAAAGGACCTTAAAGATCATCTAGTTTCAACCCCCCTGCTGTGGGCAGGGTTGCCAACCACTAGAGCAGGCTGCCCAGGGCCCCATCTAGCCTGGCCATGAATGTCTATTATAATTTAGAACACTTTAATAGCATCATCCTAAAATATTTAGCTTTGCAGAAATTAACTTCCTGAATTTAAATCAGCTCCTTTAATGTGAGCCAACAGATTATGGTACAGTAACATATGCAGCAAAAACAGTACCTGTGTCTATCTGATAACTGTGATTACACAAGAAACTGGAAAGACATTAGATAACTTTCTTGTCATGAATTTCAAACCTGAATTTCCCATATTTATCAACACACCTTACTCGAAGCCTGACCTAATTGTATTTTCCTTAAAAACTAACCAAGTAAAACATATAATGTCCCAAATACCTGCAAGAATAGAATGAGTAATCTTTTTGTAAATAAATTCCTTAATTTTTCAAAAGGATCTTACATCACAAACATCAATAATTCTTTTGTGTCTAGTCACATGCTGGAAGATCATGTTGCTTGGTATCAGCTCGTATGCAACAGACTGGAAAATTCAGATTTTGACCCCATTTAAGAATAGAAACACATGCTTTGGAAAAGACATGTCGTAAACATTTTGTGAGAGAACAGTATCATACAGTTATCATCTGTACACCGAGACTTTCATGAACTTGCATTCAGTGCTTCAGTGAGGCCACTTTTTTTTTTTTTTTTTTTTTTTTTTTACTAGCCAGGCATAGTGTATTGTTGAATCATTTGAGTTTATTTTTTTAATTGGAAATTGTGGTTTTGTTTGTTTTTTTTTTTTTTAAATATCTCCTGTCTCTGAAAATGCAATTCTGGTAATTCGAAACATGTAAAGCAAGAGTGGTGACAACAGCAATTCCTTCTGTAATACAGAATGAAGGGGAAGAGGAAAGAATGCAATGTAGCTTGAATTAGTTTGTACTTGTGTCTATCCAATAGCCTAATTCCTTTCCTGGCACAACATTAAACTGTGCTAGCTTCCTTGATATTGATAGGACTATGAAGGAGGAACAATACATATAAGTCTTTATATATATAAACATATATATTACTTATTTTCTAGAAATGTATGTACTTCTTGAAAAGTATCTGCTATTTTCAGCATTAATGCCGTGCCATAAAGGTATGTAAAAGAATAAGGTCAAATAAACTTCCCCAGTGTCCTACCTAAAGCGCTATATATCCAGCTATAACCCTCAAACTAATAGCATACAAAGTATTAAAACTTTTGAGACAGGATTCAAATGACTTCTACAAATAACACACAAGAACAGGAACAAGACTAAGACAAGGAGTGTCTAGGCTTAGAAAGACCATACAATTAACTAAAAGTCTATTTCCACCACTTTTTGTACGAGTTGATATGTCTAAACATTTAGGCCATCAGTTTTAGAAGCCCAGATCTGACAGTTTTAGCCTGTGATCTCATACAGAAATAGGAAGTTATGGTAGAGAACACAGACTGGCAGCTATTTTTTGTATTCTATTTGGTGCACAGTAACTTTAAAATATTTTCGCATTCAGATAATTTCCTAAAGTTGGTAATTAAATAAGAATTGCCACTTGAAGAATAGTAACAAGTCCTACCACAAAATGTGTTCACATAAAAAATAAGCATTTTTTAAATACTTACATAGTTATGAATGTTATTGTTTGCTCTGCAGTTATAATACTCCAGACGCAACTCTTCTGGAGAGAAATCTGGAAAGCCTGTAAAGAGAGAAATAATCAAAAACCTCCAAGAAAATATATTAATACTTTCAGTTGCCCTCTACAGTTATGAGGAAATGGGCCTTGGTACATTATCTGCAAGTCAGTTACAGTTGGAGACAAAAAAAGGATTCAGTGCAGAACTTAAAAGATGTTAATGTCCAAAATTAATTTGCCATAATCCAGTATTCCTTTCTGTTGCATCACATGGCAAATGATCACCTTGCAAATGGTTCCACTGAAGAACACCACTGTGGACAAGTGTAAGAAACATCCTAAATAGCAGCAATACGTGGCAACACTAAAACATTACCTACCTGAGATATTTAGCTTTTCTTTCATCGGTGAATAACATGAAAATATCCACTGTCCTGAAGATTCCCAAATTTCCATGTCTTTCACTACACATTCGCTAGGAAAAACAAAACAAAACAAAAAAACCCCCACAGATGAGGGTGAAATTATAGTCAAAACAAAACCACCAGAAGCAATTGCCTAGTTTGAATCCAAAGTCAGATTAAAATACTTGCTACCATGAAAATTAATGAAGTATGACACTAGTCAGAATGAACAAGAGAAGTACTAATTTCTCTGTGAAAAAAATGCACTTATTTGGGAAGATACATAAATTTTCCTTCAAAGCATTTTACTTTATCATCCAACTGCAAGTAAATCAAACCAGATCTTAAAAAAAAAATCCCAACACACACAGTATTTTTTAATCCTTGCATTGCATATGCTGTTACAGAATTTCCCTTGAAGTTGCAGATCACAATACAGTTTAAAACCTTCCTAATACAAGACGATTTCATAATATAAATGAACATGCACACTATTAAATAAAAAAATGCAGAAACAAACAAACAAACAAATCCAGATGTTGCAAAAGCAGAGAAACAGAAGTTACATCAACAAAAGTAAATCCAAATGTAAACAAACACTGAAAGGGTGAAAACTAAAGTGGACAAGCAGATCACTACTGCATGGTAAGAAACATTAAGTATTTCATATGTTTGTAACACAATATACATTCACGCTCGAGAAACTGAATAAATAATCTGTTAAACATTTTCTTAATGCAATCCTAAAAAAACAATGGAAAGTGTTTCCAAAACCTTGCTTCTGCAGGAAATCACACTGCCTGTTGCTTCTCATGACCTGCCTTGAACCTGCTGGTCACTCTCAACTGACTCTAACACATATACAAGTGAAACCAGGAAAACTAAGTCAAATAGTTCATTTTCTTGAAGAGGGTTTTTTTTTTTAAATGGTTGAAATGCTGCCCAAGGGGCACTGACTCTAACACATATACAAGTGAAACCAGGAAAACTAAGTCAAATAGTTCATTTTCTTGAAGAGGTTTTTTTTTTTTTAAATGGTTGAAATGCTGTCCAAGGGGCTCTGACCCCTTATTTTCAAGTACTGAAATCTTAGTTTCCTTCTTTATCTTCCTTCCCACAACTTAAAACCGTACCACCTTACTAATATTACAGCTGTCTAGCTGCCCAACCCAGGTTCAAAACAAGGATGGCCTTCCTCCCATGCCAGCATAACTCAAGAGAATCAAACGAAGTAGTGTTTTCTGTGGTTCTTACTGCATGTCCCAGCTTCCTCTTCATGATCATGTCCTCTACATTATCTCTAGTAAGTCAGTAAGCTTTTAAACTACCCATTCTAAATGTTTTCAGTGAGACAGGCCTATAACTTACAGAAATCTCTCCTCTTCACCTTTATAGCCATCAGCAATATTTTGACTGGTCATTAACGCAGAGAATCTGTTCTGCGAAAAGTCTGCATTTCTGCTGCTGCCACCTGATGATCCAAAATCAGAGGAGCCAAAAAATCCTCTTCCATGATCTCTGCTGCCACTCCACGTGTTAGACTTAAAGGCAGATGGCTGGATAACATTAGTGTATCTCTGGTTAGTGGTACCCCATCCTCCTCCTCCGCTAGCACCTTCCAATAAAAAAAAGAAGCAAACAACAGAAATTTTAAATCATTAAGATATTAAAAATTTAACATCAATAAAAACTGTAAGTATAACTATTCTTATGGTGGTAATAAGAAGTTTGAAAAGACAATGTAGTTTTTTGCTAATGAGTTAATCTAAATATTTAGTGAGCTTAACCTAACCCAGAGTAATCCTGGAATTAAAGGTAAATGTGAATTCCTCCTCACACCACCATACCAATAACAACTCACGGCACTGCAGAGAGACTGTTTCAGTTTTGCTTGCGTCATTTCAGAAGGTAATTACCCCAGCAGAAAAATATTAAATTTAAGTACATTTACATGACGGGCTCCAATGCTACATGGCAGAGGCTCCGTTGCATAGCAAAGCCCTCCCAAG